CGGTTTGGCTGCTGCCCGTTGCGGCGTTCGGAGAGAACCTGTGCCCGGCTCCGCACCGGTGCGACTGCGCTGAGGAGGTGGAAGGTCTGTCTGCAGACTGGTAAGCTTTAGCTTTTCTTTTGTTGTTTCTTGGTGTAGGTTTGTAAGTGGAACTGCAACGATGTCTGACGAAGCCGGGGGGGATAAAGTTAAGAATGGTTAAAGTGGGGTGCAGAGATGGGGGCAGCATGGTTTTGTCTGCTCTACGGGTCTCTCTGCTTGTTATCTCTGGTAGGTTGGAGCCAGCGATGGTAATTTCCCAAGTGTGAGGGAGTTCACTGCTGTGAGAACTAAATAGTTGTTAAGCTTAAGGGGTTGAGTCTGGCCACGTTTCCAGGCCTCGGGATTGTTACAAACGTGCAAACTGACTTCTCAGGCTTCTCTGGGTTTAAGTCTCACTCACTAAAATAGAAGCAATGGCTGTGAGCAATGTACAGATGTGCCATTTTAAACAACCTAATTTGAGTGTAACTTCTTGGATAAATGCTTTAAGCAAAAAGGTGAAGGTGGCATAGTGTCTCTTTACTGTAACTTCTAAATCTTGATGGTGTTTTCCTTAAAACCTAGTTCCTAAGTGGTGTCTGGGAACGTTGCAGATAAAGGTGGTCCTCTGTGCTTTAAATCCTTTTCTCTAGTTGCGTTTTTATCTGTAAAGCACAGTTAAAATACATCTGTGATTTACATGCATCTTCAAACGTTGTCTTAATTTATATTTAATCAATCAAGGTGTTTATTGATTTCTGTTACTTAAGGGTAATGAGTTAAGGTGTGTGTCTCACTGAACAGAGTTGTCCAGTTTATCTTTCTTCTCTCATTGATTACACGATGCTTGTCCTGTTTTATGGATAAAACCCCAGAAATTTGCACAGCACTTGAGCTATGGTGCTCTTGTTCAGAGGATAAAAATGTGCAAATAAGACCACCACTGCAAGAACGCTTGCAGTTGATGTCTCAGAGCGTACGCAAAAGGCATTTGTATTCTGAGAGTTGGAACAAATTGAGCCAAATGATGTTGTTATTCCATTAAAATCTTTTCTCAGTTGGTACAAGTATGCATTTCGCTTTAAATACTTTTAAATTTTAAGTTTTAATTTTCCTGTGCTTCTTGCTGTAGAGATGTAATTCTGAGGTGATTTTTTTTTTTGTAAAGTCAAGACTAGAGAGCATCACATACATATAGAAAGCAAAAGAAAAACGAGCATATGTATTGTAGGAGAGAGAATAAAAAAGACAGGATAATGCAGGAATGAAAAAGAAATGACTTTGGGAGTACCAGGAGGTAGATGTGTCAATGTTGCGTATATTTTCTAGTAAACCAGGTATTCCTAATCCTTCTGCTTTTTGAAGCAGACCAAGACATCGTACTTGCTGTGTTTGAAAGATTGTATCCTGCATACTCTTAATCTTGGAGACCACTTATTATATTATTTTACACTTTTATTTAGTTTGCTTGCTTCACATGTTAAAGTTGTGGGTGTTCCCCATCTGATAGAGTGAACTCTTACTTGAAATTATTTAATTTTTATTTATGTAAGAATAGGTAACTTTATACATACATGGTGTCTGCCATGGATTGTATTCTAGATCCTAATTACATACAGTAGTAGAAGGGCTGAGTGATGTTAATGCAGATGGTATTGATTGCTCTTCCCCTTTCAGACTTGTAAAGAATAGTTAGATGGGTTGGGAGGCATTTGGTCCTTTCATCCCTACCTCCATCTAGTTCTGATGTATGCTTTACAGTCAGAGGGTTTGCTTTAATTAAGTTAAATGTAGAAGATCGATGGTTGTCTACTGCGGTGCTACAGGGCAATGAGAGTAGTTTCATCAAGGTAACCCCTGTTTCAGGATGCATTTCTCCAGTGGTTATAAAATTAATTTGAAAGTTTCTCATGTACTATCAATTGGCTTAAAAGTCTAAGCATGATTTTTAGAGGTACCTAGGGATGCAGGACACACTTTTTCTCTCAGCTGGAAAGTTTTAGCTGTGAATTACTTTGTCACAGGAGATTCATGTGGAGATGAAAAATCGAACCTGTGAATGATCATCGTTGTGACATGGTGGAATTTGGCAGTTTCAGGCCTATAGGTTGTTTTTTTTTTTTATTAAACCACCATTTCAAGGGCCTGGAACTCTCACCTTCTTGTATATGTCATTGCTAATGAATATAATGGCCAGGAGGAAACGTCCTGCTTGCTGGGTTTCAGTATAAGATACCCTACTTCATCAAATGGCCTGAATGTTAAAACTTTTCCCATGTAAAAGTGACAAAACTTGGTTTGTTTTTCCCAATTATGAGGGGTTCTGCTGGTAGAATTAAAAATGCAACTTTGTTTGGTCATACTTTAGGTACAGCCTCACCTAGTTTGCTTTGTTTTGCCATATGAAAATGAGCAAGAGTCGTTACCATATGACCAAGCCCCATCTCAGCGAACTTCAGTTTCTAAAAGTGTCAGGATAGTTTAAGCAGTGATGTGCAGCCAAGAGCTGACAGGACAAGATTATCTCCTTGAAACAGATTCCCTTATCATGTATATTGTGGGCATAGGCAACAAGCTTGAAAAATTTGTCCTGCTTTTTCATGAGCATCCAATAATTTTGGACCTGAGATTCCACTTGTATTTCAAAATGTGTAAACAGCTAAATGGTGATTATTTTTTTTTAACCCATTCTGCATCACCAAATACCTCCACAATAGGCTGGCTCAAAAGCATAGCCAAGAGGCTTAACCTGTGTCTGTTGGGGCTTAAAAATGAACTCTGAAAACTTTTAGAACGGCGTTGTGTGTTGGGATGTACAGCAGTCCTTGAGGGTGGGAACAGGGCCTCGTGGCTGCAGATTTGTAACCCTGGTATGATATAATAGTGGTCTAGCAAAGGTTTAGCTTGTATTTTAGTATGTATCGATTGTGTATTATTTATACAACTAAAGAGGTGATGGATCTGGACTCCTGCTTAGCTGTGGTGTTTACTAGACATATCAGTGAGCCTGGTTCTGGAGGATGGTTTTACCTGCACTAGTAGTGATTCAAACCAAGGCACAGACTGTTACAAACATCGCCTGTGTTTTGTTTCATCTTTATAGCAGATTTGACTGTGATCTCGTAAAGCATTTTTCTTTGATGATATTGCTTGATTTACAAGTGGGCTGGATAGATTAACCTTAAACTCAGAATTATGTTTAGTGATTGTGATCTGTTTAAAAAATAGGTAAAACTTAGATTTTTTTTGTTTGTTTGTGTTTTTAAATAGTCGATTGGGAACAGGCGGTTGATCTTGTGTGAAGTGATATGCTTCTTTTTCTATCAGCTTACATGAAAACTTCACCTTTCTTAAAACACAGAAGTACTTTCCGTCTTTTTGGTAGATGTGCTTTTGTCCATCTGTTGATCTTTATTGTCTCCGTGTATATTCTTTGGTGTATATTCTTTTATTCTGAATAGAACTTCTAAGCTTTAAACATCTCATAGATAAGGAAGAGCCAGATTAGGCATAAGAGTCTAGTATGTTTTGAGGTTGGTGGATTTTTTTTGTGCCGAAACCAGGACACTGGAGAAGCAGTTATTCTCTCAGTCAAGCAGGCAAAAAACCCCTGATGTTGCTGTGTTCTTTCTTGTATACGAATAGAGAACCAAATGGTTTGGGTTTGCCGTTTTTCTCCCCCCCCAATTTGGTCAACAGCGTAGTTGAGGTAACTACAGAGAGCAGTATGGGGAAGTATATCAGGCATAATGTTCAGAATTTTGGTGTCTAAATTTACATTTGATGTGCTGTTTTCAATTTGTAGCACATTTGCATCTGAAAAATTGATTTAAAAGTCTACTGGAGGAACTGAGGAAGAATCTGTTGAGATTTGGTCTAAGTGGTACAGGTGGTGTATGGGTTTTAATTACACTTGCTGTATTGGCTTTCAGTTAATGGAAGCTTGTCCCCAGCAAGTTCGTGTAAAGTTAAAGCCCTATGGCTTCTGCTTTTTGAGAATTAATCTTTCAGAATGAATGTCTATTTTTGTTCTGATATGAAAAGTCTCCAACTCATGCTCTTGTTTGGGTGTGTCAATTTGAGGCTAATGAAAACAAGGAAAAAGTTGAGCATTTTAGAAATATCTTGTCTGAGGGTGTAGTCTGCAGTGCTGGTTTAAACTGCTCCTGCTGTTTGTTTCCATTCCCATGCTGTTGTCTTTGGTTTGTGTTGGTAAAATATTTTGTGGGCCTGTGTAATAACCGGAGTTATGACTTTCTGGATTAAAAATAACTCCCGGAAGAGACTGTATTATTTCTGATGTTGATCGGTACCCCTGTTGGTTGACTGCCCAGCTTTGAAACCACTGTGCTACCTCAGTTGAGGAAGAAAGGGGAAGGAGGGCGGTGGAGACCTTGCATGGCTTAAACAGGCACTGATACTGCTGCAAGATATGCTTATTAACCAGCTACTTCTATGTTTACTTTGCAGTTTAAATTTCTAGTACAATGCAGTACATCACTTGCTTACCAGACCCCTAAAAATCCAGTTCTGTATGTTGTCTTCACTCTCACCAGAATGTCTTTAATTTTGTCGCAAAATGTTACATTTGAGGTTTCATGCTTTAATTAGGATGGGATACGAGTATAATTCTCCAGTAGTTTGAGAGTCCCTGTGTTACCATTGCTTTTTTAGACTACTGGTATATATACCTGTTTGTTAATACTGAGAAGCCCTATTCTGAATAAGACACACTGTTCTAGGTTTTGAAGTAACATAGAACAAAAAGTCAAATTAGGCTCAATCTAAAATAAGCAGCAGATGAATTAGAGATTTGGATGGGCAAGGGAATGATGAGGCAGTGCTGCTTGACTGTAAGGGCTCATTATGCTAGCTTCTCGTATTCTTTTTACAGTAGACATCATGGGATAAAGACTTTTTGGAGGAGACACATAAGTGCATTTTGCAGGTGCAGGGAACTCCTCAAGCCTAGGGATGGTCTTGGGGAAAAAAGCACCAAAGTGCTTGTTTGAAAATCAAATACAAATGCTTTTCTTTCTTTGTATAAAAACATCTGACCACTTGAAACAATCTTGTAATATCTCGATGAAAACAGGCCTTGTTAATGTGGTGAGTTTTGGTTTGAGCTTTTTGTTGCAGTGAGTGCAATTATTTCTGCTTCCTTCTGACAGACCAAAGAGAACGCTGTACAGTAAGAAGTATGGAGTGGACCTCATCAGGTACACGCATGCTGCCAACACTGTCGTGTACAGCTCCAACAAAATAGATGGTAAGTGATCCACTGGAGTTGAGCATATTTAATCTCCTTACAGTTAAAACTACATGCCTGGATAAATAGCTCTAAAGAGCTGGGAAAAAATTATAGCAAGTTTTCAGTGATAAATGCGCTGTCAGAGACAGAGGAATTAATGTTCAACTCTAATGCACAACTCAGTGATACTCCCTCGAGCATGCTGACATGAGTTTTGTTCATTGCTGCAATAACTAAGGGATTAAACATTGTTAGTGCGATAAAAGTTCGGTTCTTGATTCTGCTGTTCACTTTGCTGTTTGATACCAGTGCTGTCAGTCAGCCTCCGTGCCTTAATTTCTTATGTGTGTAATGAGGTGGAAGGAGCATGTGGCTAGAAGGTGGGCTAAATGCCGTAGCTCTGTCTGGTACACACACAAGTCAGCTGCAAAGGAAGGGAATGTTTTTCCATTCTCTGTAGGCAGCAGGGAGGGTAGGAAGTTCAGGTAACTCAGCAGATCACCAGCCAAGCCTGGAGGAGGTCACAGAGCTCTTCTGAGATTAGCTTTGCTTCTGTTTATCTGTTTTTTGCATGTAATAGACAGAACACCCATTTTCATGCTGTTTCTCCACAGTCGGTGTCTGTGATAGCTATGCTCTGTAAATCAGTGACATCGAAGGGCTTCTAGAGCTTCATGACAGGGTCTCTATTAATGTATTTGAGTTTAATTTAAAATTCAAATTTAAGAACTGGCACAGATAGGTACATTAATTCTTCCTAAGGTTGGAAACAGCTAGCGTTCATTTCAAATTTTGTCTCAATTTTGTTTGTTGCAGTCGGTGTCTGAGAGTTTTTCAGTGAACAAGTCTCTTAGCACAGCACGTTATAAATGGGTTTTAATATTGTATTTGTAAACTCATAATCATTTCTGGAATAGTGGTTTTGTTTTGGTTTTTCCTTTGCAGAGATGGAGCTTGACAGTAGAGATACTGGTGCCTTGTGGTGTGTGCTGGGTTACTTAAGGAATTTGAGAGTATGAATTTAGAGCAGATGGAAGTTAAGATTTAGGAAATCAGGTTAAACTAGAACAAGCTGGGCCTAAAACTAGAGGAACAAGGAAGTTTCTAAGGGAACTGGATTTAATGGTGTAAAAGGATTAAAAGTGTGATGGGAAGCACTTGCCTTTTTAGTCTATTTCACAGCCTACTTTTTTTTAATTAAGTTATTACTTTGTGTCACATTTCTGACTTGGCTGCTATTTAATTTACAATTAATTAACAATTAACAATTTAATGAAGCATTTTTAATGCTATTTTGAGCTGTGAGTTTTTGTTTATAAGCAATGGTAGTCTTTGAGGAACCAAAACTTAAGAGTCTTCATCCTGCAGGGTAGCATTATGATAAATACTTGATTAGAAGAAAAGAAGAAGATAGAGTGTGAAAGTATTTGTTGCTGTTACAAACCGTAAACCTAATAAAACCAGCAGTGTGTTCTGTAGGGGTCCATATACTCTGTAGTCCCTAATGCATGCAGTCTTAGGCAAGGTGCATTGTATTTAACCTGTTACGTCGTTATCGGGAGGGAAAATTAACCCAGGAACGTGTAATAGGAGTGCTGGTGCTTGTTCCCAAGCATTTTATCTGTTGGAGTTGCTACCAATCCACTTCTGAAGATTTCCTCAAGACCTTTGAACCTAGTTCCTCTTGCCTGATTCCAGGCTGAGGTAGTAGTTTGTACAGTTTGAGGGTCTATGATACCACCCGGTACAGGAGATAACTGTACAGGCCACTGCCTTGCCTGGGACAGAGCACTGCCAACAAAAAGGATCACAAAGGATCACAGTTCCCCAGAGCTTCCTCTTTAGCAAAGGAAGATGAAATTCTGCATGGATACTTCGGAAATCAGGTAACGACAGTTCTGGCAGGAAAAACTAGAGATGTGTCTTAACAGCATGCTTGAAGCATATCGGTTCTAGCCATGGTGGGATGTGACGTGACACTGGTGTTGGGGATTTATGTTTTGGATAGTCACCTCAGGTCACTTAGAGCCTTTCAGAATGGTGTGTCACCAGCATCATGTTTCCAGCTTGATCAGTCAGCTTTAGTCGTCTTGTCTAATACTGGAAGGTGGTCTAGAACTCTGATCTCAGCTTGATGTGAAACCTTAGGCAAAAACGGTAACGAATTTTTTCACAGAAACTAAATTTTGCTGAGTGAGCCTTTCAAAAAGCTCTGAACACAGTAGCCCTTATGAGTGTTTAAAATGCTCTGTGCGTATTGCATGCTGTTGGCTCTTGTTCTTCTGAGTCAGAAGTAAAAATGTGTTTTCTCTCAGTTTATCTTTGGAGCCTCAGCAGGACTTGTTACAGCAGTACGAAGTCTCTTGGCACTGTATGGTGCAGGTGCATAATGCCAATCTCTTCCATCCAGCAATAGCTTAAACTAGTGTCCTCCAACTGGTGTGAGAAGGGATTTTGCTGATTTCTGTTTTCATATCTGCTTTCAGATAGCAGAGGTTTAACTTGTGCTCTTCACGTTTCATCACTCAGATGGATCTGCACATAAAGTGGCTTCTGTGCTTTAGTAATTGTTTCCTCTTACAAGAATTTCTTTTAATCTTGGGAGAAAGTCTCAACAGCATCTTCCAAAATTCTGGGCTACTCTTGGTATGTTCATCTATAGTCAGAATAAAATTACCACTTGAGAAATGTTGTGGTGCTGCTCTGATTTATTCAGTATATTTTTAAGATTGCTTTAAGTGGACTAAGCTTTAGATTTGTCCTGTCCTCTTCTTAAAGCTTAGCTACTCTAAGTGCAGAGAAGGTGTGAAGCTGTTGATTGTCAGATTAAAAAAAAAGAGAGAGATTTGCTACTTTCTGATGGTCTTGTCCTGGCTTTGAAGTTCATGTTTTTATCTCTTTGGCTAAATGCTAGAATTCGCACATTTCCTATGCTTACTGTTTAGTTGGAGACTTATTTGCTGGATGTGTACGTAGGTAAGACAGCAAGATTCATGCTGTATAGCAAAAAAAAGTGGTCGTATCAACTTTGTAAATTTGATACTCTCAATTTTGTGAGAATGATGGAATAAAACCTGGTACTTAAATTTCAGCAACTTTGAAACTAACTTGCATAAATCACATGTACATCTTACATGCCTTTAAGATGTAATATGACTTCAGACTGTGGAAAGTATCTTTTCCTGGTGCCTGATTTCCAGTTCTGCCTTGGAAACCAAGTTTTTATGCCTGTTTCTAACTTGATTCTGTTTCAAAGCCTGACTTTAAATCAAATGACCAGACTTATTCACTGTGGCAAGATTGCTGTTGCTGTGGGGAGCAAGTTTACTGCGTGACCGCTTTTAGATAACATTGGGTTCATGGTATAATAAAGCTTATGGTTTGTTTATGTTTTCAGATACAATCCGATACCTCTCCCTGCATGACAACAAATACATTCGGTATTTCCCGGGGCATACAAAAAGGTAAGATGTTGCTTGGAGACAGTACAGGAGAAATCGAAATAATGATTGTAACGAGCTTGAGTTACGTTACGCTTGATTCACTCTGGTTTTCGCTTTGTAGAACTGTTCATGGCAGTGATGAGCTTATACACAGCTGTTGGGGTAGGTGTTACTCCATTCACTTCTTTTGTATGTCTCTGATGCGTGTGGTCTTCTGTGTTGCAGAGTGGTTGCTCTTTCAATGTCTCCAGTGGATGATACTTTTATTTCTGGATCCCTTGATAAAACTATTCGACTTTGGGATCTCCGCTCTCCAAATTGCCAGGTAGGATACCAAATCCATGTGCATAGTGTGTTGCATTTTCAGTTAGAAAGATGAAAAATGGATGTCTGCTGGTTATAAACCAAAAATACTGCCAGAAACATATGCTGTTGATGTAGTGTTATACCTTCCTGGAATGCTGAAGGAGCCTTGATCACAAATCTCTGCAAAATACATGTCACACTGTGTAACACCACTCACTTTCACCTATGTCTCTGCTGGAGAGGCTCTGGGAAGAGCAAGAAGTAACACCCACAGCTGATGAAACAAGAGAAGAGCTGGGTGTCATCAGCTTGTTCATCAGGCTGCTACCCCATGCAGAGAGTGTTCTCTCTTAGCCGGCATCTCTCCTGGGTTGGGAATGCATCTTATCTGAGTGCTTATAGTGTGTGTTTAAAATTGATGCCTTGATGCAATTAAATTCGATGAAGAGACTGGTGATCTAAAGTAACGCAGTAGCCATGTGGTCTACCCCCTCCTTGCATCACCTTTGTTGTTCATCAGACCTGTTTGTGAGCAGATTTAACTTTCTAGCAAGGCAAAACCCTATTTGGTTTTATTTATGTATTTTGTTGGAATACTTTACTGTACTTTCTTCAGTGGAAGCAGGCTTGTGTGGGCTGAGAAAAGTACCGGAGCTGGCAGCAGGGGCAGGAATGAAAGACTAGGAGTAGAATCTCCACCTTTTATTGGTGATGAGCTGTTTTGTCCCTATATCCGGACACGTAGTGTTGTGCTGTCATATTTTCCCATCTCACTGGGACCATTTTGCTTATGAGAGGGGGCTATTTACTTATTCCAGATGATGTAACTGTAAATGCAAAAGGAAGAAAAGGTTACGTTTCTTACAAAATGGTTTTATCTGTCTTAAAACCAGGCTTTTTCTGACAAGAAATCTTAATTTTGCCTTTCTCCAGGAGTATGCCTTTAATGCCAGTGTGTAAGTTTCCCTTGGGAGGAATCTCAGTCTCAGAGTTGCTACAAATGAGATAGGGTTGTAAATTCAGTAGCAGTTCTGTGATTTATGCTAATGCCTGAAGTTGTAAGAATGGTAAAACCAGGACTTGTAACCGGAAGCTGCATCCAGCAACGTTTGGGCAACAGGTTGAGGAAGTGTTACTTGTAATTTTCAGTTTGCCCATGAGATGGCAGCCGTAGTGCCTAGAAATATTACCGGGAAATCTGTGATGTCCCACTTGCGAGGGCCCTGAGTGCTGGCTAGCTTACTGCCTAGCCTTCAGAGATCACAGGGAAAACTGACCTAAATTGGAAAGAAGAGAGAAGTAATAAAGTCGCTAGACTTCTCTAGAGAAAAATGGTATTTCAGAAATGCAGAAAATTTTTAAATGTATTGTTGATTTAATCAAAGATGTGTTCTTATTTATGTGCATACAGTTACGTAAAGACATTTGGCTAACGCACACACCTGCCAGTCAGGATACAGAAAATTATATATCTCGTTGGCTTTTACCAAATTTTCTCAAGTCTTTTCCATTATGTGAGTTAAGGAAAAGTTAACATTAAAAATAAGCGCTGATAGTAATCTGTCAATTTTAATATGTAAGGTCTGTTGGCTTCCAAAAGGTATGAATTTTCATTAAACACGCATGGAAAGTTCAGCAGTGGTGTTCACTGGAGCTGTTTCTACTTGCTTTCAAAATACTTTTTCTTCCCTCCTTCGCAACCATAACTGGCGGAGCGTTGCTATCAATCCCAGCAGCAGGGTTTTGTGGCACTGTCTGGTATGGTTATTAATACAGCCACATCATCCTCCCTTCTCTGGGTACTTTTTGAGTGGATGACAGCTCGAATTGAGGTCTTGATTTGTTCTGATGTGAACTTTGTCATTGCAGCAAACTGGAAGCTCTGTATGATGACCTGAAGTAGTCAGAGTTGCTTTTGAGAAGCTGAGTTCCGAACCTTTGTAAAACCTCAATATTTACAATTGACATTCAGTTGTTCCACCCATAGGCTGCTGCCCTGCTCACAGTGGGCTCAAAGGGTAGCGGTAGAAATGTGAGCATGAGTTTCGCAAAATAATTTGGACTTCTGTTTTCTAGGGTTTAATGCATCTCCAGGGGAAGCCTGTATGTTCTTTTGACCCAGAAGGGTTGATTTTTGCTGCTGGAGTCAATTCTGAAATGGTGAAGCTTTACGATCTCCGTTCTTTTGACAAGGTGAGCTACCCTAACTTCACTACTTACACTTTTTATCTTGCAAGAAGTAGTCTAAACTCAGTGCTCAGAAGCTGCATTTGTTTACTCCAGCTTACTGTCTGGGGTGCCTACTTGGCACCTAGAGAGTTTTCGGTAAGTAAACATTACGCAGACAGAGAGGGGTACGTGCTGTCACCAGATCCTGAAATCCACTCTTGAACCAATGTTAAAGTTTACTTCCGCTAACTCTTTAACCTATTCCAAACTCCTGTTTAGGCTTTTTGTTGTTGTTGGCTTTTGGTGTTTTGTTTGTTTCTTTTTCCTTGCTGCTTTCTCTGGAAGAACACTGGATGGACATTTCAAAGGAAACTGTAATTGGGTGGGCAGCTGAACTGAGCATAGTTAGTTCCATGGTTTTCAAAAAGTCAGATGACAATAACACTGGCTCAAGCTCTTTCTCTGACTTCAATTAGCAGCCTTGTTTGAAAACTTCATCCTACCTTAAATTAATTTCTGCTGTTGAATGTGGTAGAGTATGGGACTATTGGGTATTGAAACACCCTACTGTGGCTCTTTTTTGCTATGGAAACTATGGATTCATACTTTGAAACTTACACATGCGGTGACATGTTTTTGCTACGACGCTTTCCTTTGGTATCTTAGGAGTAAATATTTTCTTTTGAAAAATCTTAAACTTTTTCCTGAGCTAAGGTTAAAAGCAGACTGTTGTTAGCAGCAATGCATGCAGAGTCTACATCACATTTCCCATTTTTAATTTGAAGGGGCCATTTGCTACGTTTAAGATGCAGTATGATCGAACGTGTGAGTGGACAGGCCTGAAGTTCAGTAACGATGGCAAACTCATCCTCATATCGACTAATGGAGGGTTCATTCGACTGATTGATGCCTTTAAAGGAGCTGTCCTGCATACATTTGGGGTGAGCATGTTGCCTGTGTTACCTGCTTGAAACTTGGTGTTAGGTTTGGGAGCAGGTGCCCTTTGGTTTGCGAGATTACTGTGGACACGCTCTCTGCTACATGTTCTCCTGTTTTGTGCCATAGGGTTATAACAACAGTAAAGCTGTCACACTGGAGGCATCATTCACACCAGACTCTCAGTTCATCATGATAGGTAAGATAATTCTTCTTGAAAGAATTTCAGTGCTCTGAAATGAGTTGTGTTATGTAGGACTAAAGTTGTGTCTGTGTTGGGAAGCACAATGTATTTAAATAATACAATGCAGCTGTAAGCTTTCTTTGCATCGATGGTTTTCTGTTTTTTTAGTTTACTCAGCATTTTCTAGACTGAAATGTAAACGAGCCTGCAAGAAGACTTTTGTTTTTTCCTTTATATATGAACACTATTCCAAAAAAAGATAAGAAACCAGCAAACTATTGTAATGCGTGGAGATGTCACATAATTTATGTCAATGATCCTCACCCTGTGGCTAGGATGCACTCATGTGCTGCCTCTGAAAGTGTTTTGGGGCTGTATGTTGTGGCCTGCCCTCTATTACCTGATGAACGAGGCACCTGTCTGTGCTTGGGCAGTTGGTCTCATAGCCTGGTGCGTTTGTACACCTCCCAGGGACGTTCCTGCACTGGCGACGTGCTGGGGTAGCTGCATTTTGTTCATGTGGCTCTTGTGAATCCCCATGTCTGTGGAACAAGCTCTGTTTAACCCTTGATAGAAACAGTAGGGATCAGCCTGATGGCTCCCAGCATGATTCCTCTGGCCCAGGCCCCCTTCCTCACCCCCTGCAGGCGGGACTCGAGTGAAGTGGGTGGCAGTTGCAGCTCCTGTAAAGCCTGGTGCTGCAGGTTGGGCACCCCAAGGTAAGCGCTTCAGTCACTCTGCTACGCTGCTGCCCAAAAGGACCCATGAACACAAGTCAGACGCATTTGCGTGGTGCTGCCCTCTCCTAGCACTTTCTTTTTGTTCTTATTGATATGGCTGGTACATAAAAATATGTTTAACTTTGTGGTAATTGGTATCCTGATCCTCATTTTTCCTGGATGAGTGATGGTCTTGGCAAAACTTCTTTTATTTTGTTCTGGCTGAGAACTTCCTGATTGCAGAGAAGGTGGGGGCAGGGGAGGTTCTTTGTTTAGTCTGTTTCTGGAGAGCACTTTATTGCACATATTTACCTTCCTGTTGTGCCCTTCCAAATGAAAACTATAGTGCAAGAAGTTCCAAACCACTTATTTCTGTTCAGTTTTTACATACGGTTAAGTTGTAACTTGTGCTTCTTAATTTCTCCTCCCTGAAAAGCTATACATATAATTATAGAAGCAGAAGAAAATTCCTTGTATTTTTATTAGGAATCCTATCTAAAATGAGACTAAAGCAGAACTGAATTATAAAAGTGTTAAGTGCCCAGCCTCAGAGTTTGCAAAATGCCATTTTAAAGTGAAAAACCTGTCCCGTTGTAGCAATGTGGAGCGTTGACACCTCCAGTGAAGCTTCTAGTATTCGGCATAGTGCATTGAAATCTGGTTACCTTCAATGGTAAAGCCTTTGATTTGATTCTGTGCCTACCAAGTGAAATATTTATCTCCTGTGTCTGAACTGAGAACTCTTACACCCAGCTGTTGGCCTCTCGCACATTGGTGCAAGTTGGCAAGGGTCTTTCCTCCTTAGTTGGATGGTGTCAGCTCTCCTTTTCTACTGGGTGACCGTGGTTGTTAACCTCTTTGCCAGAATAGCATTGCACTGTGTTGCGTAGTTGAGTCCCCGCAGTGCAAAGATATAAACCTGCTGTTTGGATACAGGTGTGTAAACTCTAGTGATGTTTTGTAAATGCCCTAGTGATACTTCAGGGATTTTAAAGGTTAAGCTATGAAGACGAGGCATGCTTGTTCCTACAGTTCTCTGTCAGAAAAGGTTATGTACTTCATTTTCTCTGCTGGTCTCTCCAATATATCTTGTTTTCCACTCCTGCCTGCAGGTTCGGAAGATGGGAAAATTCATGTTTGGAATGGGGAAAGTGGGATGAAGGTGGCTGTGCTGGATGGGAAACACACAGGTCCTATAACCTGTCTGCAGTTCAATCCAAAATTCATGACTTTTGCTAGTGCGTGTTCCAATATGGTAAGGAAAGCGTTTTAAGTTCCTCCTAGCTCAATGAGATGCTGACCCTTTTAGAAATGAATCTGAGAAGGCTCAGTGCCACTGATGGGTATTTCCTTGGGCTTTGGTGAGAGCCAGGCCCCTGTCTGTTGCACCTTGATTGCGCCTTACCTGCCAGGCAGATATGTGGGGCAGCACACCTGGCAAGTCAGCATTTGAACACACACATGAAAGAGCAGTGGGTGAATGCACAGGCAGAAGAAGTGTGAGTCCTTTAGGTCACTGTACGTGGCTGGTATTTTCAGTTTGTGTAAGACTGGCTTGCAACGAGAGAACGTGCAATGCAAACCAAACCAGCATAAGCAAGGATTGTAACCTTGAACTGCTGGGAGGGTGTTGCTGCCTCTTTGGTAGTCTCTGCCTGTGTGCTTATGGAAGGTAGCAGTGATAAGCTCCTACAGTGTGCTGTAGGAGAGATTTGTGTTCTGCTCTGTAAAAGATGTTCGTTCTTCTTTTTTGTAGGCCTTCTGGTTGCCAACTATTGACGACTAATTCCTACACTGCAGCTGCTGTCAGATGACTTCCATACTGCTAACAGCAGCACATCATTGCAAGCATAGTATTGGAATTGCCTAGGTCTCCTAGACTGTGTTCCTGTTCCTGCGTATGTTTCCATATGTCTTACCTTTATTTGCTGCATTCCTTTGTGAGGACTCTTCCACTCGGCCTCCTAGCGTGTTCAGAAGCGGCATGCTACACGTTCGTACCTTCCAGTCCGTGCCCAGCAGGCTTCAGCCGAAGTTGGAACTGACACAGTATTATTTCTAAGAGCAATGAAGTCTGTTTTATTTACAAAATGTTCGTGGCATTTTTTAAGCTGTAATTGTGTGTTTTCCTTCTGTAAGTGCACAAGGCTATTGATGTTCCAAGGTGGAACGTGCAGTTCCTTCCCATAAGTGCATGTTTTTCACATCTGGGATCTCTGGTTTCACTGCAGTCCACAGATGCAAAGTAACTTCTGTGCCAAACGTGAACACTGACAGTTTTCAACTTAAACAGCAGATGCTGGATTCTCTTGCAGTGGAATACGTGCCGAAAGAGTGGGTGACTGTAAATATACATTATACATCCTGTCATCCTTTTTGGTGATTTAGTGTGCAACAAACCATACAGGTTTTGTCCGCTGCCAGAGCTTGCCGAAGCCTCCCTGCTGTTTGCTGTGCCAGCATCCTGGAGGGCACAGACAGTACTGATGAGGTCCGGTCAGTGTCCCAAGCAATAAAGGAATCTGTCAGCAGGAAGATGGAGAAACCAAACTGAGACTGAAAGCACAGTCTGCCTGTGTATCTTCCTTATGTATCATCTTGGCTGATCTTACTTGTAAATATCGTGGGGGGGAGGGCAGTGGGAATGGGCCATATTTTTTTACTTTTAGATATTAAAGAATATGATGTGGGCCAGTATTGTGGGGTGTCTAGGCTGTTTACCTTCACTGATGCAGTTTTCCCCTCCTGGTTTGTAAATAAGCACCATGAAATTCTCCCCACACCAGGCTTAGACCTGTATCCCTTTGCTGGTAAAACTGACGTGCAGTTAGTTCATCATGCGTTTTGTTACAGGCCCCGCGGGTTTTTTTAGCGATAGCCCCGAAAGAGCAACGCTTCCTTTGTCAGATGCTGTCTTCAGAATTGAATTTTAAAAATCTTACATGTGACTGTGCTGACTCTGCTTTGCTGTGGCCCTGCTCCAAGGAACGCCCCTGCAAAGAGATGGGAGGGACGTGCTCTCCCGCTCCAGAGGAGCTTGTGGGCGAATGGTGCAGAAAGGCTGGCAAGCTGGTCTTCAAGCCTGGTTCCAGTTTCTTTTTCCTGAAACGTTGCATTGATCAAATGCATCCACCAGCAGGTCGGGACAGGCTCAGTGTAAATGTGGTGTTCATTGCGTTCTTGCCTTTCCAAAAAGACTTGGTTTTATGTGCTGGGTCACAGCTTGGAAAGTCCATTCTTTCCCTCACCCAGTCACGTGTGCTTCCCCTCTCCTGAATGTAAGATGCTGGTAAGGTGACAAGCACAGTAATGGGCACGTCCTCTCTGCTCTCAAGTGCCAATCCAAGCTGGAGAACAGTGCTCGAGCATTTTACCTTAGGTCAGTTTTCTACATGTTCCCATATTACAGCAACGTTCGTCTCAGCTGTGGGGCCCTGTATATAATTCAGAGCATGTCTCCCTGGAAAAGTAAATCGGCTTGTAGAACAGCTTCTGTTTTGCTTTTCCTTGCCTTTTCTTTTTTTTTTACAGCCCTTGTCAGTGGAAATGTGCTGTGCTGAGAGCTGGGGATGGGGACTGAGCATTTCTCCACTGCTGGTTCCTTTAAAGTAGCAGCACATGCTGAGCTGCAGCGTCTGCCTGTGACAGTCGGCAGGAGGACTGCCGTGCATGAGGCAGTCTGATTAACGTGATGTTCGGATCGATGCTGTGGTTGAAGCTTCTCCTTAGGCTCCGTGGCTTGCCTCTGCTGATGCTACCGCACGAGTTTAGAGCCATTTCTAACAGCACAGGTCTGTGATGCGAGTTTTACATCCTCCAGACTGGAGGAGGGAAGGGAACAGCAGACTGATGCTTTCGATCTTGCCAAACAGGCCTGCTGTTGGAGATGCGGATGAGAGATTCATCCTACTACACCAGCATCCCTCTTCCTAGCGTGTACTGTCCCATTGTCACCTATAAATGCCCAGCGCGAAGGGAGATGGGTATTTCGGTCCTCACAGTTGACTAGGTTTCCACAGCCACCTCTTCAACTCAGTCTTGTTGCATTTCGGGCTGCTTGGTGCTATTTTACCGTTGTTGGTGTTTCTGTAAGCAGCCGTATTTTGCAGTGGTTTGTAACATACAGGTATTTGGGGTTTGCAGTACATTTTAACAGTTAAACTTTAGGGTTCAGTAGCAAATCATCTTTCAGGGTTTTACCAAGTCTGTTGCCTGAGGAAGTGGACAGATAGCCTCCAGCCATTTTTCTTGTTACTTTTCACAGGGAAGCATTTGGAAGGCTTTTACTCTAAAAATGCTCTTTGCTAATGTGGTTTGAGCCCTTGTCTAAAGACCATTGTTCAGCTCTTCCGCTTGCAATGTTGTAAAACATTGTGTGTTTCAGCATGAAATATTTAAGAAAAAGAGGACCAAAGGACTGATCTAGAAGGACGGGTACGCTAGGAACATCTAGAAGGACACATACACTAAGAACATCAGCGGCTTTCTGGAGTGAAGATAAATTTACAGGTTCACGCACAACACAGCACTAATGCTCAATTGAGAATTAAAGCTGAATGCCTTCCCAGGGCCGATTGCCACCCACACGGGCAAAGACATCTTTCTTGGTTGATGTAGCACTGAGTGTTTTCCATCTGCCTTTAAAAGAGGGAAATGTGCCAAGTATTGTCAAGGAACTTGAGTATCGCGTGTTTCTAGAACGCTAGACTGGAAATGTGAATAAAGCTTTTAGCTTCCAGTTTCTGTGTGCTTCTCTAAAAGTATCGGGACTGCAATTCCTGCGCTCTTCAGGGCAGCCAGCTAATGAGAAATGGACCTCGCCGAAAACAGCTCTCCCGGGTCTAACGGCGTGTCCAACCTTAGGTAAAGCCAAGCAGGAAACAGCATTCCCCCTCCAAATTTGACATTTAAAAGATGAATCCCTCCATGTTCTTTGGGATGAAGTAAATACCTTTCTTCAAAACAAGGGGGAAGTGAGGCTCAACAGCCCACCTCTAAATAAGCAGTGGTGGTGGCTGAGCACATCCCCTGGGGCTGTAGGAGATTTCGGGGGTAATTTCTCCAAGTTAGTCTTTGAGAGGTTTTTGGGTTGGGTTTTTTTGTTTTGTTTTGTTTTGAGGCTCCCAGGTCCTTGGTTAATGTCTCAACCCCTGCTCTGGGGGACGCAGGAGCAACTGAGTGAACAAATTTGGAAGCAGCAGTGTCTCTTTTCCAATGCCTCTTGACTATATTTGCACTTTAAGAGACTTCACCTTGGGTTTGGGTCGGGGGCTAGGATCCTGGCGAGCCTTTCAGAAACTGGTCTCTCTGGTTGTGAGCTGGTATGGGGAGTTTGGCTCCTAGGTGGTATCTGCCAGATGAGTGTAAATACATAAAGTCAAATTATGCTTTGTCACAAAATACTACGTATGTGGAGAATTCAATGTTGTGGCTGTTACCAATAAATATTTTGTAGAGAGATCACCGAGTGCTGTAAATTCTGCGTTTGTCTGGTGTGATACGACTTGCCGTTTTCTTGGAAGGGAATGGGAAAACCATCCGTCTTTTTAAAAGCCCCTTCGTTTTGGAAAATCAGAAGCTCTGTGGTGGAAACTGTGATGCTCTGAAGCTATCCCTACATAAATTGCCCATTTTAAGAGGCTTTTCTTGCCTAGGAATGTATCAGGATAGGGAAGCGGACTTGTGACAGCTACTTGTTGAGGTATGGTGCCCTAGGTAGAGGGGTGTTCGTGGGAGCCTGTGGTCTGGAAGAGCTGAGCCCTTTCTCAGCAGGAGGGTGGGGAAATGGCTTGTTGCTTTGGAGTAACGGGAGACTTGGATCATTACAGTCAATGTATATATAGCATTACAGCTGCTGTAGGGGCAACGGCAACTAGCATCAGGTTAACGCGGGTAAAACCCCGTCTGCATTGTTTTCAGGTTGAACTCAAGAGGATGGGGGAAATGCGAAGCTGGAGAGAAATGTTTTTTGTTCTATCCCTTGTTTAAACCATGAGCAGATAGCTGAGGAGGCTGCCTCATTCCTGGGTCCAGGCCTCCCACGGCAGGAAATCATCTTTTGACACCTAGCCCTCGGGGTAGTACTGCCAAGGGAATACTTCTACTGACAAACCGGGCTTTGGCAAAGACAAATCCAAAGCAGAAACTCCTCTGCAGTTTTCTAAGGCTGTTTTTCTCCATCTCAGGCCTGTGTAAAACCTCTGACAGGAATAAAACCGCAGTAAGATGCAGGAAGAAGTTGGGGTTTTTTTGGACTTTCATCCTTGTGGAACTTAAACACACGCTGGGGTTTGTCCGCTTCACTAGGGAATCTTGCAACTTGTGTAATGAATAACGAAAATAAAATTGGGGGCTCGGGGAGATGGGGTGCTTGTCCAGACCTGAATTTGCCTGGCTAATGAACTGGTGGAGAAGCAGATCCTTAGAGTTTAAGGTACAACTCGGTTTGGCATGTCTTCTGCGCTGCTGTTCCTGTTGTAATGAGTGTAAGCGCTTGTGATTCAGCACTGCAGACACATTGGAACAAACCGGTTTTATTTTACTTGGAGCTGTTCTACTAAATCAGCTGATGTACTTAAATACTTTCGTTCTCATCGCTGCTACTGCTACAAAAACAGCTTTGCTGTCAGAAATGACCTGAACGAATAGAAAAAGTGTTAGCAAGTGGTGTGGACTAAGATTTGTTAGAAATCCGTACGTTGCATTACATGCTAATATACTTAAATGCTCTTAAATAACAGTAAGGCACGTCTTTACACAGGAGGCTCCTGTACACCCATGTGTAGCTTCATCTGCTAACGTTGTCTGTTTTGAGGTGGTGCTGCCTACAAATGGCAACTTTCTCAAGAGGTCTGGGCTACTGCTTCAGCGTTTGCATTCAGCAGGCGTGGCCGTGCCCAATGCCGTCTTAGCAGCAACTCCTGGGTTTCCAGTACATCTCGCGTTACAGCAAATGGATACGAGGGACACTTCAGCTTACACATCCAGTTCTACACAACTTAGTTCAAGTCTGATTAAAATCCAGCTCTTGAAACTGGTTGGATCCCAACTGATCCCCATTCTTCAATATTAAAAAGGGAGAGGGGTCACTAGAAATGTGGATTTGAGTCCCGCTGAACCGCAAAGATCTTAGCAATAGTACCCTTCAGCTTGTGTGGCCCCCTTTGTGATTTCTCCTTGGCCCAACAACGAGAAAGGAGTAAGGGGAATGATTTGTTGCCCACTGTTCCTCTCTTGCACGTTCTTAAGGAGCTAATGTTCTTGTTGATCTTCTACATAAGTGCTGGCTGTGCGTTTTCAGGTTCCACTGCAGATGGTTTTGCTGGAAGAGAGCGTACATGCACAGCAGAAATCTCTCAGTCTTGGGTTGATGCTGAATAGCACCACAGTAGGGGGACACAGAGATCCTGTGTGTCATGCTAACAGTCAGTCCTCATCTCTGTTGTGTAGTGGGATGACAAACACAGAGATGTCATCGTAGGATGCCTCGTGGCTGTCATCCAGCATCCACTGGTGGCCTCTCTCCTTTCCCCTTGCTCTGCATACCAAGCACTTGGCCAGTTCTGAGAATCTGTGGGTGGAAAAAAATGCAAAGTTTGGTTTAACGTGGCACTACCCCTTAAGAACAACATTGAGATGTGGCTTTGCATTGTCAAAATAATAGACACCAGCTTTATAATTGTTTCTTTAGGATGGGGAAAGATTCGGAGGCAGTTTCCAGAGTCACAGAAAAGAGAGCTTGGTCGTGCCAGAGCTGACCTAGAAGCAGAGTGATCTCAGCCTGCTTTTGGTCTGACCAGGTTCTCTGGAAGGGAAAACGATGGCAAGGCTGATATTACCTGTGAGGATCTGTCTTGTTTTCTGCAAGGAAGCTCCTGACCATATGGGCCACCTCTTTGTTGCACAGAACATCCCAAAGGCCATCAGTTGCCATGATGAGGACGTCGTCTTCCTTAATGTCATGCAGAGCAAAGTCAAATACATTCACCTGGACAACACAGGAGTAAATCAGTGACAATTCCTGCAACGTACCAGAGGGGTGAGGAAGATGACTCTTCCCCTGAGAGATGACTTCAAGTGGGACGAGGTTGCTTTGAATCTTTTACATCCCCTTGCTGCTATGCTTCTAGATTACTCTGTCTTGGACATTCTCTGGGCAGCGTGCAGAGAGATGGAGGATGGAAAAAGGAAACGGCCAAGACCTGCCAGGTCTGTAAAAGGTGGGTGTTATAGAGGAGGAGCAGCCTGTTTAATTCCATCTTGCAATTCCCACGTGCCATGACTGACCTTGGGAATGCAGGAGAGGAAAGGTTTGACTTCAATGTTGGTGTCGATGACTTTGAGCTGATGATCCCCCAGACCTCGAGAGACAGCCAGAGTCCCCAGCAAGCGAGCCTGGCCACAAACAAAGCAAAACAGTGTTAAAACATAAGAACGTGGCACCTCTAAAGGCTGACGTGTGGCTTGTCCTGACTGATCTGTGTTGCCTTTAGGACCCTTCTCCCGGCATCACCCAGAACAGCCTCTGGAGACTTCAGAGATGGAGGAGTGATCAGAAGCGATGGCCTGATGGAGCGTGGAGACAGCCTGCCTGCCTGTGGATAGCTCCTGGTGGCCTGTGGTGTGCTCTGGAGTTAGTACGTGTACTCTGGGTAATGCTACAGACCTCAGGAAGCCCATGGTGGCATCTGCTCTTGATTTGGGGTGGCGAGGAAGAAAACTGGGTTGGTTTGGGGGGAGGAAGGGGTCCTTTCTCCTGGCAAAGGAGGTTCTGCACTGACTCCTTGCAAAGGGGGTAGCATGTGGGTTGTAGTGCCAGGGGAGGCAACAGGGCTTTCTGCTCGACCCCAGCAGGCAGACACTGGATGTGTGCAGTCGTTGCGTCGCCCTGCCTCCTCCTTCCCTCTCCAGGCTCCTTTTCTCAACCTCTCCTCGAGGAAGAGGGTTTGTAGGAAAGGTGGTAGTTAGAGCCAGAGGAGACAGTCCAAAGTGGGATCTGATGAAATGAGTTCTCATCTGAAATGAGTTCTTGTGTGCAAGGGGAGATGAGGAAAGGGCAGGCTGGCTCAGGGCTGCTGTCTGCTCCGCTAGCAGGTACTCTGGAGGAGGGTGCAACCTCTCTGCTGCGGAGGGCTCTGATTTACATTAACGAGGCAGCGTGGTGCTAGCGAAGGGAGCTGCTGCAGCGGGGCTGTGGGACTGCGCCATGCTGGAGAGCCCCAGAGCACGGGGTGCTCTGCAGCCCCAGTCTGTTGTAGTGGCCTGGAGCATGACCGTGAGTGACGGTAACACTGAGGACCCCCAGCAGACTTGCCTCTGCCTTCCCAGTGTGTAAAGCATTAAGCTACCTGCTTCCCGTGACCATGGACAAGAGGATACTTGAGGTCGGCTTTCTCCACCGTCTTGTATCCCCTAGAACAGATAATTCACCGTTGAGTTGGGATTTGTCTGCCTTGAAGGTACAACCCAGCCAGAGCGTTTCGACCCTTGTGGTGCCCCCATGCACAGGCAGCTGACTGAGGCAGGGACAAGGTGACTTGCTGAAGCAGATGCAGTGAAGATGACCCCTTGCTGAATGTCCAGGTGTTTTTCCCTCTCCCCTTCCTCCTCAGCTTGCACCTGCACTAGCCCCACCTCACAGGAGCCCAGAAGGACCATCTCAACTGTTCCCTAACTGCCCTGCCATGGCCCCAGTCCTTCCGTCAGGGGGGAGGCTGCTCACAGCATTCTTTGCTTGATCTGGCACAGCTTTGCACCATCAAGCCCACTGCTCTCACCAGTGGGGCATACCCCTTCTCCCTTCACCTCCCCATCGCTACGAGCAGGTAAAGCTGCCCTGTGCCGCACCCTTATCCTCAGGCAGAAAGCACTCACCAGCCCTCCATGAAGTAATCCCGGTACAGGACTTTCCGGCCCACATCATCTCCCTTCAACCTCCGTGGAAACTCAAAGCGCGTGAACTCACCGTCCAGGAGCTTGGGGAAAAGAAAAGCCTGGAGGAGGGAATGAGGGCGTGAGGACGGACAGGTTCTGCTTCAGCGGAGTAGGGCACCAAAACTGCTTCTGCCTCGGGACTGGCACTCCCAGCAGCAGAATGGAGAACAGAATCGGGAAAGCATATCCCAAGGAGGATGTGAGCATCTCCCATACTAAAGGCTGCTGGTTGAATCTTGCCCCCAGCCCTCCTTGACTAGTGCCAGATGACATTCTGGCCACACAGTGGCCTTCGAGGAAAGCTGGTGGTCCTCTTCCCACAAGCCCTCTCTGACCTAGTTGGATGCTTGCAGCTGGATTGTCTGATGCGCAGAAGGAGTCACTCACCAAGTGCTGGATTCGCTGCCTCTCTGTCTCGGGTGTGAACTCGCAGCTCATGGGCACAACGTTGTCCTTCAGAACAAGAATCGCCCTATGACAGGGAAGAGACAAAGAGCTGAGCTGAGTCTGTCACTGCAGCCCTCCTCTTA